GTAGTTAAGTATGACTGCCCTGTTGGTCTAGTGGTTTTAGTAGTGCGACTGCTGATCATGAGGTGCTAGGGTCGAATCCCGGGTCGGGCCAAAAATCAATTATTGAGTTTTTCCATCAAGAAATTCTCAATAGCTGCACGGAGTCAGGAAGTTGGTGGTGTTTCATCCCCGTGCCCCGGAAAGCACCGTTGGTCCTGCGCCTGATCTCTTTCTGGTCATGTCGGTTTACCGTCCCATCGGATTATGAGAGCGAGGGAATAGAGAGTGCACCTGTGCTTGCGCATACACTTGGGCACTATAATCCTTTCCTTCACCGATGGCTAGTCTCCCTTGTTGCTAGCGTGACCGAAATTCGGTCTGGAGGAAATTAAGTAGAGCATGGTTTCAACGTCAATGAAATATACACAGTGTTCTTTATATCTTTGCAATCGAGCACACAGTCAACGTGAAGGTAAGTGGTATCTGTGACCCATGGGCATTAATATCTAAACCAATTAAAAATCCTAATAAAGTTGCGTTCTCACTCCTGCTGTCTAAGATTAAATGTATAGATCGTTGCTACCAAACGACTGAAGAACCCAGTGAAACGCGTGCATACAGGTAGCCGTGATGCAACAATAATTAAATTAATTTAAAATTAAAACTGTTCATTCATAGATCTTGTTTGTCCATAGTTTTAGTGGGCTTTATATATTATGTAAGTAAAAAATTAGTCGTAAATTATTATCTAAATTGCAATTTTTAATGGTGTAAACATCGTAGTAACTTATCATAATCCGTCTCAAGCAAATATTTATTACATGTCACACAATCTTTCTTATATTTATAACACGTGCCGCTTTTATCTTATCTCAGACGGCTACTGCTCCGTCTCATTACAAAGATAATTCGATCAAATTTTTTACCGTAGACGAGGCATCGTGATAATAATTTCTTAAAAGGATTCCCTAGGTAAACATAAAATTCATTAACCTTTTTTAAAATAACTTATATACATATTATTTCTTAAGACACGTATGTTGTTTAAAACGATAAATAGCTTTATCTTTGAAATGAAATGAAGATTTATTTGCTTTGAAAAAAGGTACATTTAGGTGGTTATTTTAAAGTGTAATTCAGCTTTTTCATGCAAATACATTTTTTATATTCAAATATACATCATAAAATAGGCATCGTTTACAAATTACCAACACTAATACCAATACATACAAATTTAAAAATAATTAAAATTGGAAATGCAATTAAAAATATAGAACTACTGTTGTGTTACTTCATGTCAAATTTAGATAGTGATTCACATTATAAAAACAATGATCATTTAGCCACCTGTAAAGGGCGCCTTTAAATCTATTAAGGGGTAAGTCTTTTATATTTAGGGTAAATTATTAAATATTAGCATACACATCCAGTAGCAGTTTTTTTTTGAACCGAGCACTCTTGGGTATAATTTCAGCAGCAAGTCTATTGCCATTTCTGGTATTTTGCGTATATATCTCTTTCGCTTGTCTGAAATAATACATGTTTTGTTTTACAAACTTTGCAATTTCAAAAATGTACAGGCATGGGAGAGGTAGTATTTTCAGAAATACAAATAGCGGCCTGCAGGGCTCATCAGGTACAGTGCTACATTACCTTACTAACACTTACCACACTTTTCCTTACTAAATTATGTCATTAAAACTTCAATGAATCTCGGGCTAATATTATGTACCTACATAATTCATGCTATTAAATAAAAATGCGCTTTAGCCGTGAAATGTGTGTGGTGTAAGGACCGGGCTCGCGACTTTCAAAGTAACGATGTAAAGTTCCGAATATAAACTTTAATTATTAATGCGTTCTCGGTAGTGAAGAAAATATTACAGAGTATTATTACAAATACTTTTTTACTCCATTACCCATTTAAAACGCGAAGAAGCTTCTGCAAACTAGTTTAACTCAGTTTATATAATATGTATGTATTCTGTGCTAAGTAAACAAACTTTATATCTCGAGTCATAAATATTAAAATTACTAGTCATTTGAGTCATTATAGACCAGGGCAAGGTGCGTGTCCTAAATTTCATAATACCCGAGCAAATGAAGAACAGGAAGATAGAGGAAACTATCATGCCTGAGAAATTAAAATGTATATAGGATATGTGAAGCATTGAGGTAGCGTTACGGACTATGTTCCTAAAATCCTATTTCTGTCAAAATGAAATTAGAGACGCTATTGAAGAAGAATACTAGTATAAACATTATGAGGACAAAATTTTTGGTCTAAAATTAGGTTAAATGAGAGTATGCCGATGCTGTGGGTTGTACGAGGGCTTGCTATTTATTTACAGAAATGTATGAAACTTTTATCTGGATCATATTTTATTAATACTTTAAAATACGAAGTCCTTACTTTATTAAGGAAGTTTTGGTAAGTTAAGGATAATACAATAAAGTTTTAAAAATTGTAAACTGTTACAGAATTTCTAAACTTGCTTATGTCAGTAAAACACTGTGTTATATTATATGTATGCTTATAAGAGCATTATTTTATTAACTCTATTATCAGTAGTGTATCCCACACAGTAGTGACGGAAGTTTATATTGAGACTAGTTGAAATCGAATAATTTGAACTGGAAAAAGTAATATTGGGGAGGGACGTGTGCTACTTTAATCTATATTTTTGTTATAGTGAATACAAAGTGGATATTTTAAGTGACTATTTCCATCCCTATTTTAATTAATACCCACAGCGTATAAAATAGTGATCACATAACGTTCAATATTACATGTAGACAATGAAGCCGGCAATCCACTCTTATTAACTTATTATACAGGACGCGTTACTTACGCCTTTCATTTTGGAACTTTGGTTTTCAATTATGCATATTGATTGTTGTTAAGGCAATAAGGAAACGTCATTTTTAATACAACACACTTGATATCATTGTCACTTTTGTGTTCTGTGAACAAATAATGTTAGGATTTTACAAGAATAATAATAATAATAGATACATATCATATGAGAAAAAATACGATTTCTGGAGTGAGAAAAATGATTAAACCATAATAATAATAGTACCTATCTGGGCGACCAAGCTTCGCTTGACCTAAAAACTAATTACATAATATCTATATATTATCTATAGAGTGTCAACACAAAACTGCACTATGATGCTCCTGTATTTGGCATTATGCACATCCTGTTACAAATTAAATAACAATAAATGTATGTTTCTGTAATAATAAATAAGCCGCTTAAGAATTTCCCTTACCCCACTATATTGAGCGGTGGTAGCTCAGATGGTTAGAGCTAGCTGTAAAGTCATATTACGTGAGCAACCTGGGCTCGATCACCGCAACAACCAATGAAATTGTTAATTGCAATTTTAAGTGCTGATTTACCACGTGCTCGGCGGTGAAGGAAAGCATCGTGAGGAAACCGGCATGTTTAAAAAATATAAAAATAAAAATATTTCGGAGACATGTGAAGTTCGTCAACACGCGTTGGAGCAGCGCGGCGGACACTTCCTTGCCCTAAAACCCTCTCAGAAATGAGAGGCTAAGCTTAAGCTGTGACTTTTTTAACTTTAATATATACGGCACCCCTTACAGAGGGAAACAAACAAGGAGATAGGCTGTGGCGATAACTATACGTTTTAAAATGCTACTTTCAAATAAAAAGCTCTTGCAAATTAATATTTTTAAATGGAATGCACATTTGTAATTAAACAGGTTAATTATATCTGGCCGCAGATAGTACATTAGTACAATTACTCTTTCAATGCAGCCTCGTTAAAGTTAACTGATGCAGTTATTGAGTAAACGAATAAATAATTAAATTTCACGTTTAATTGAAAGTACTCCATACAAAATCTATGAACAAAATTTATCGATATACTGCTATATATTTTTATGCATTAAAATACACATATGTCTTTTAAATTTAACTTTGAGTCTGTTTAAATTGTTAGAAATGATAATGTTTTAAATAGATTTCTATAGACGAAAAAAATATTTATTTGATTTCTAGATCTGTTTTTTCTTAGAAAAAAGATCTAGAAATCAAATAAACATTTTTTTTTTATTTAACGTTAATGCAATTTTAATTTCGCCTCAACCTTACATTATTGACATACTGTACATTCGATTGTTTTCAAAACTAAATGCGTATAATAAAATTAACGGTAGATAAAAATAGGTATATTGAAGGTTTCAAAACGATGATATAAATCAATTCTTCTCGAAATATACAAGACAAAAAAAAGTTCGTTTATTTACGAACGTCCAGAGTCTAGAAGTACCAATATAATACACAAACGCCTATACATAATTTTAAAAACATAATTATCAAACTCTATACACCAAAAACGTGAAGATATGTAGAAATTTGGATTTACAATATCGGAATCATTGTATTAGATTCCAGATGGAAGATTTAAAATGTTACGAATTACATAAAGTTAAAAATACATTTTTTGGTTTTTGTGCCGCAATTGTATAATAAATTAAATTAACGTGGTACTTTTCTCGTGATTTTATCCTTGTTTATGCATTGACTGAAACAAGTATTGTTAATATAAATATTAACTAAAAAAAATTCCACAAAATGCATTGATCATGAGCTAAGATGGTTCTAGTGAGAATACTAGATCATTATAATGAAACGTATTGTCACTCATACATCATACATACATATATGCGTGTTAAGATAGGTTGAGAAACTAGTATGTAGGGTCAAACATCAGCCACAAACGAAATATATGGAGAAAGGAATACATAATATATTTTTATGAATGTTATTTTAATCTTTTTGTTTATTTTATGTATGTAACACTCTCAAGACACGAGCTACATAAGACACGTTAGTAGCTCCTGTTGTGCCTGTAATAAATAACCTTTTTGAATAAATATTCTCTTTTTTTTTTCAGATAAAATATAAAAACAAAAAATGTACGGTTTCAACGAGCCTGTCTGGAAGTTCGAATGCTGTCAAAACATGTGGCAATAGGCTATAATAATGAAAACGCTGGCTGTGGTGACGTCGCTAATAGGTCTCATTTTCTTAGGTAAGTTTTTTTTTTAAAATTAAATTAAGTTGTATTATATTTTTTATTTCAAAAATTGTTATTTTTTCTTTAAACTGGTTTATAGGGACCATAATATTCGAGAATAACAATTCTAAGCACATTAAGCGGAGCTAGAGCCCTTTTTTTGTAAGGTATCCATCTGGTAGATACCGCCTTCATATTTAATTCTGTCGGTTCTAAGGAGCACTGCGTCCGCTGTTGTGTTACAGCCTGAAGGATTTAAGAAAGTTAGTATAATTAAAGGCTGTGAAGGCATTCCATCGCAGTACTCGCGTATTGTTAGGCCCTATACCTAATATCACTATTTTTACAGTTCGTTGCAGGTTTATAAGTGGTAAAGCCATGCTCTACTTTTTTTGCTTTTTTTAGACTTTTTTGCTGGAAAAGAGGCATTTCATCTCAGTCTTCACGGGTGACAACGCATCTGTATTTTGATTCGTGATTTATGTCGATGCCTATGAGCTGCAACAAACATTTACCATCAGGTGGACTGTGTACTCGTTTGTCACCCTTATCCTATTAAAAAAAACTAATATTGTGTAATAATTATAATTAAAAAATAATTGATAAAACCGCTTGAATATGTACAAAGATGCTTTTCAGTCAAACTCATGGAACAGGACAAGACTTATATTCACGTAACATATTTACGATCGCTCCGAGAAGTCAAGGTTCAACCAGTGCTAATAGCTCGATCCTCACCCTCCAGTGGGGTGACATTCCCCTACACTATTCGATATTTAGTGCCTCGTCGTACCATCTTAAATATACTATAGACCCCATTTAACGTATTCCAAAATGTGTCCTTCCAATTACCTCAATTTATCACTAACTTGGTTACAAAAATCAGATATAAACATAAAATATTTTAGGTTAACTTTAAAAAATTCATTTGTTTAATATTATTGAATTGTTTTTATAAATCGGTATTACACAATATAGCTTTATTTATGATTTGATGTTTGAGTTAAAAATATATATATTTATAATAATATATGAAGAGAAAAATGTTGCCGTAAGCATCACTATAGTCCATCCTGTTCGTTGATAGTCATGACGGTTAGTTAGGAAAATATCTTGCAGCCTCCGTCATATACTATAATAACCGTTATTAATATACTTAAAATACTCGAAGTCTCCTCAACGATTAAGAAAAGGAATACGATGTAGGTTACAAGTTATGGACTAGTTGGATTACTTTTCTCCCAAGGAGTCTGGCTAAGGTACCGACCACCTGCTTAACTATTTCTACTTCCAAAAAGCAGTGCCTACACTGCTACGTTCCGTTATAATGTTAAAGACATTCAGTATATATTAATATAATTATAGGCTGTGAAGCATTCACTCAGACGTGACTACGTATCTGTAGCCTTCTGTTTTAAGTTAGTTACAGGTGTTTAATGGTGGCATTACCCACTTACCATGAGGTGCTGCATTAGTTAATTTAACTTTCTACAATTGTTATCGCTAATGGAAAACATATAATAAATGACTTTACTTCGATTTATTTCATTATAATGGTTTCTATTAACGTAAACTATGATAGGAAGATAACTCTTTATAGATTAAGGATGACAAACTACCATACAGTCTACATGTTTGTAAGCGCAACCTGTGGGCGACTGACACATATAACTCGATTATGAATCAAAATTTAGATGAGTTGTTGATTATTAAGATAGAATGCCTCGATACATGTAAAAAGTATCTCCAGTTCTCTACACTCTCTCAATGAAACACAGCATGTTGTTTTATACTAGTATTCTGTGAGAGCGTGTGCCTTCTCCAGTCAAGCCGACTCGTTTGTTACCATAAAATAGCTGAAGTGTGGCTTTACTAAGTTAAAAAATAATACGTTTTTATAGCTTCTTCCAATCTCACTTACTGTAGAAAACCAACTTGATCCTCCACATAAAGAATGCGTTATATTATTCACCATAAGATTGAAAATTGCCGTAAACGTTAATAGTGTCTAGAGAGGAGATATACAGCTTGAATTCTGAGAGATTTATCAACGGAGTATGTTGCGTAGCAGTGCGATCGTCATACATTTTGAGCGGCCGCCACTTAGGGCACTAATACAAAAACGTGTATTCTTCATTATGGTTTTCATTCACATCGAAATTGTCACTGAGTACATTAGGCCCTAACCTAATGTGCTTGTGTATGATCCACACTGCTCGCCACGCCTACCGCCGTCCACTGAGACCTTCTTATTCAGCCTCCAAAATATCACCGCCGGACGTAAGCTTCTCTCATTTTGGAGGGATTTGCCTTAGTTGCCACGCTTAAATATTTTTAAGAATTATAAGTCAGTGCATGACTACTATCCCATTAGTGGTGGACTACTATCCCGTAAGTGGTGATGCCGCCAAAGATGGAAAAGCGCGAAATAGACTCATGTTTCTAAGGCCTTAGGATTATAAATTTATAAAACAATTATTTTTAATGTTGTCATAGATGATTATTCTGTAACATTTTATTTATTTATGTACTATCTGCCGATTATAAGTTCTAATACATTTATTACTGCACGTAAACATCTCTACATAGATAGTATAAAACTAAGTCGGTTTCCGACGTCTGTACTCTTAGATCTTTTAAACTACGCAACGGATTTGATGCGGTTTTCATCCATAGGCAGAATGATTCAAGAAAAAGGTTTTTATTATATTTTCAAGATCTGAAAATCCCCCGTGCGTATCCGGTGTAACATATACGTCAAAATATAAAACTCCTTTCTCAGTTTAAAGTTAAAATTTGTTTTCTACATAGTAACTTAACGCCATAAATTGCATCTATTCCATTAAAATATTTGGAAAAATAAAGTAAACGTTTTTTGAGCTCAAATTGATTAAAGCATTAACGGATCCCTTGGGTCTAATAAATAGCGTAAAGGCAATAGTTACTTACTGACAGACCTCATTAAGTTAACAAAACACACATGCGTACATTTACTGCCGCATCTGTCTATTGCACATATTTTACCATCAAGAGCGTTTAGAGTATATTATGAATATCGTTGCTTTGAAGATCCTCATTCCCCTAGTATGCGATGTCACAGTGTTGGGTAATTATTTTAGACTGTGTAATGCAGTATACATGAATATGAGTTAAAAAGGCCGCGCACCCCGGGCGGTTATCAAAGCGTAAAGAAGTTAGGCTAATGTTAAACGACGCCTATCTTTTGTATCAATGCGTGATAGATGCTGCGTAAAATTCGATAAAAAGAAATAATAAAAATAAACAGAATCAATGGCTCCGGGTACTTACAATAGGCGGAATATTGAACGTCATTGTATTCACGTTTGAAAAATGGTCCGTATCTCATTGATCTGACTACAAACAAAACTACGACTACGACACGTGGGACCCTTATAACATTAAATATAACACTTCATAAGATCACAATATTTTTTTAAATATAAATGTCTAATAAAACAGGCAAGTAGTTCATCCGTTTTATTTTTATTTCCTCGCGAAGTTTTAAATAGCCATTGATTAATTCGTGAATGTTCTCCTTATAAAAATATTATGTCATCCATTAAGAATCTTATCATTTTAGGCTATCTAAAAAAATCATTTACGAACTAAAAGCGCTTTGACCAAGGGCTTTTAGTTAGCAAACTGTACGCTTTTATTGGATCGTCGATAAATCTTAATAAGATTGGGTAGCAATTGTCAGTGAAGCGAATAAAGAGATTCGTTTACGTTCACGATCTTATTCACTATAGGCAGTAACCCTTTAAAAAAATTGCAAATAATTCTGTCAACTAAAAATTTGTGTTTTATACATTATTATATTTATAGCCATGGTGGATATATATATTTTTAGCCATGGTGCAGTTATATTAGTAGTATAGTTGTAGCATGAATGGGTCGGCTCAACCAGGGAAGGACCACGCTCTCACAGAATACCATCGTGAAATAGTATCTTAATGCTGCTTTATTTCGTATGGTGAGTGTAGAGAACCGGAGACCCTTTTTACTGAAAACGAGGCATTCCATCTTAGTCCTCACGGGTGACAACGCATCTGCATTTTGTTTTGTAATAGAGGCTCCATGTAGATGTCTATGGGCCGCAGCAACCACTTACCATCAGGTAGATTGTGTGCTCGTTTGTCACCCTATCCTATAAAAAATAGATTTTCACTGAGACAGTGAAATGAGTAGGTAAGTCTTATACTAAACTGGCTGGTCCCGGCGCGTTGCTGCTGCAGAAGAAATAATTGTGTAATTCCAAATTTAAACTGATATTTTCGGTTTAAATTTGGAAGAGTAATATTGTTTATTTAGGAACGGTAATATATTCATTGAATTTTAATGATAGCTCTCAAATAAATCTGTTATGCATATAACTATCGCGCAAGTGCAAGCAATAATTTGACAAAGTTTTATCGCAAACTAACGAACGGTATGGCAGCGCATAAAATTCGAACAAGTATTATTTTTTATATGTTAGATAAGATGATTTTGAACAGGTACTCTTTTTATAAAAATATTTAAAATTTAAATGAAACACTTATGTACTTTTCTATTAAAACTTTATTTATACAAACAGAAATAGCACACGTCAAGCACGGGTATCGTAAAGCAGTATCATGTCGCCATGTTGTTACAACTGCCCACGCGCCGACTCTATAAAAACAAACCTATAAGAAATGTCACAAATGTCGCAAACTGTATTGGAAAAATGGCCCAGCTTTTAAAAACTTTGCCAAAGTTTTGAACACAATGCATATCGAAATGGCGTACCGTTCAGTATAGAATATAACATGAAAGGAGCAGCTGATTCAGTTTGCAAGATTTGTTGACTCGCGTAAACAGCACAACCGTATTTCATCTAGGTAAGTCGGAACCTATGAAAGTCGATACTGCGTCAACAATTTGTTTCTTATATTAGAAGAACGTCTTACAAGACAAACATTATAACTCACGAAATTCAAATTAACCTAATCTTTCCATCCGTTGCACAAAGC